CACCCCAAATCGTAAAGGGGAACTGCCAGGATTAGTCATTTGAGAGTTCCGCTAGATTCTTAATGTCACCTGGCAGTTGTCTTGAAGATGATGTTTAGGTTGGATACTGCCCCCACTCAGTAACAGTTGGATAATATATATATATAATATACTTATATATAGCCCTTGATAGGACCCCTAATATAGACTGTTACTGCGTGGGGGCAGTACCCAATGTTTAGGGCTTAGGCTTAGGAGATCTCGGTGCAAGACCGACCCAAGATAGGCCAAAACTCTGGCCAACTAAGCATCAGCAGCATTAGCAGGGAGGGTGGCGCGGGCCGTGTTGAGGGGACAGTCTTTCGCCAGGTTGTGGGCTCCTATTGGTTGTAGTCCCCCTTAAGTAGATAGAATATGGCTTTGGGTATATTATAGTAAGATCCCCATATACCCCAAATTCTATCTACTTAATGGGGACTATAACCCTAAAGAGTAAGCCCCAAACAGACTGATTGGAGGTATGATTGTGCGCTCCGATGATGGCTCGCACGCTACATAGGAGGACGTTCGTGACTTTGGCTCACATACGTAGATAGGGATTATAGGGTATATATTGGTGCTATATAGGGATAATGGAAAAGAAAATGGAAACTACTATTTGGGTTTAGGGTGTAGGGTTCAGGGTTTAGGGTTCAATTTCTACGTGTGAGCTACAGTAAATGTTTACCCATGTAATGAATGGACGTGGGTCCTTGTTAGAGAATTTTTTCAGGAGTATACAGGGACCATGAGAGACCCTATGTCCACCCTTCGTGGTCCTTCGGTGAGCTTAACATTGACAGCAGCCCACGTAGGTAATTCTAAGCGCCATGAATGCGGGCTCCAAAAACAGACCCTGGATTTCTGGAACCCACCCAATTCAATTGGCTACGTGGCCCATATATAGCCCTATATAATAGAGTAGTTTCCATTTCTTTGCCCATCATCCCTATATAACCCCTATATGGCCTCATCACTTTCCGAAAGTGAGAAGCCTGCACCAACACCTCATGCCAGGCAAGATACTGACGCCGGAGGTAAAACCAAGTCAGGTCAGCACCCAAATGACTGTCACAAATAGAAAAAGTCAGTGGGGCTCAGTAGGGAATAAGGGAAGGAAGAATATTACATAGTCCGTAAATCCCTACCAAGAACCAGTAAGAAAATCTGTAACCTGAAGCATTGATGTCATTGCCACCTTTGTTCTGTCAGCTGGAACTTGAGACCCACCAAGCTTGCAACCAAAACCCTACACCCTCAACCTTAAACCCTAAACCCTAAACCTTATGCCTCAGTGCTCAAAAAATTAGGGTACCTTTTGGGGATCCCAAGAATACGGACCATAGTATTTGGGGGTCTATATTGGGGTCCGCTATTTTGGAAGCTACCATATAGAGATTGTTAGGATCCTAGTTTGGGGTTCTAGAAGGCCCGTTTTCCTGAGGCCAAACGATTTTCCCCAACAACCATCTAGCGGTATACAAGGGGTTGTATAATGCTTGTCATAGGGAGCCACGCCCCCTATGTAGCCGGATAGAAGCCCTAATACAACCCTAGACACCCCTGAAACCCCATTACAACCCCTGTACCACCCCCATAACTCCTTTTCTTTACCACTCCATATAGTCGAGTATTCCCCTTAATAACCCCTACAATACTCCCCAATATCATCCCCTATGTAATCCGCTTTAAGGAGTTTAGACTGTAGCTCATTTGGTACTTTCCCAAAATAAGGGGACCCCAATATAAGCCCCCAAATACGAAAGTCCTTATTATTGGGACCCCCAAAAAGGTACCCCAAATTTGGGAAACCACCATTTAAGCAACAGTACATCCAAAGAAGGCTTGGGCCTCTTCCCAACGGGCCGCACCTGGACCGGGTTTCAAGTTCGGGGTGGAAGGTCAGAGGTCAAGGGTGTAAGATTCAGGGATTTGGGTGTTTAGGGTGTAAGGTACTTTAGGGGTCTAGGGGTTCATAGTGTAGGAGTCAGGGATGTGGGCTTTAGGGAGTGGGCTTCTATGGGGGTAGACTTTGAGGTCTATGGTTGAGATGAGAGATTTCATGAGCCTTGAGGGTGGCTGATATGGCTGGCGCCTTTTGGACATACCCTCCATCGGTACTTCGAAATAGCTACGAGAAGGCAGAAGAAGATTCCTGGGTTTTGTCTTCAGTGCTTTCAACCCCTTGGGCCGGGAAAGAGAATTCCATAGTCCTGTTTGCGTTGGGGGTAAAGCATTGCATCACAGACTACTTGCAGATCTGTCTTTGGCGCCCGTGGCTTGACCCATGCGGCAATCTCTGCATGATCTATTTAGGGCACGGTATATTTCAATGGGAATTAGGTGGGCATGTCATTTCCGAACCTTCAGATTCCCTCATGTGAACAATTCGGATTTTACGCACTAGGTAGGCGTAGCGTTCTCCCTCCTGACAACTAGACAAGATTCTAAGTTCCAGCCTGGATAATGACTGGGGTGCTTTCGTACATTCCACTGCAGGATCCAATTACCCTACACCCCAAGCCCAAACCCTCAATCCTCAACCCCAACTCCAAACACTAATCCAAGAGCCCTCAACCCTAAGCCTTGAACTCAAAACACAAACCCTACATCAAAAACCCCAGACCCAAGCCCAAACCTTGCTTAACAGGCCAGCCCCCTCAGCCCCGAAGCGCAAAACTTCAAATCCAAACCCCGCACCCTCATTTCCTACACCCCTAGACCTTAACCTCCATACCCCGGCTCCACGTACGCGAACCCCTCCTAAACGCCCTAGACCCCTAACCCCTAAACAATATAGTACGTTCCATCTTCTTTTCAATTCTGCATGTGATTCTCCTCATAGCGGGTAACCAGAATCCCCCTGTACATCCCCTGATACATGCTACTGCTACGCCCCAAAACCCTCAGCCCTGCATCCTAAACCCCCTAGACTCCAAACTTCAAACCCTGAACCCTAGGGAATCCCAAACCCTACCCTAAACGCTAAACCCTACAAACATCTCAATCTTACACCCTAAACCCCGGTGGCTCAGCCTCGGCTCTCTTCGGCGTGGCCGGTTGAAGCCTTATCTGGGGGAAGAAGTTCCGCTGAAGGTTTGGGGATCTGTGTGTAGGGTCTAGGGTTTGGGGTTTGAAGGTATAGGGTCTAGGGTTCAGGGCTTAGGTTTTAAGTTGTAAGGTTGCGGGCCTAAGGCTTGGGTTCCTAATTCTTTCATGAGACATACTGAAATCAGGAATCTAGGGTACGCAATGCACAAATATGTTCGACAATGACCCAGCGTAGGGTGTAGAGCCACGCGATTTGGGGTCTAAGGCTTACAGTGTCCGATGACCATCCGTGGAATCTTCACTGCATTCTGACTATCGTTATGTAGCACCTCGGGGACCCTCACTGTCCAATGGAAAAGAAGACACCCCTGCCCTAACACTTCCGCCCGTAACCTGAACCCTTACCCATAAAGTATACCATTCCTTCCATCTCATGTTATATCTGATTCCCAGTTGATTCCCTATTTTAGCAGGTGTCTTAAGCCCCACATCAAATTCAGCACCTTCTATTTTCCCTTCATGCCCCCAACAACCTCTGGTAAGTCAATGTACCCTACACCCTCAAATTCTAAACCTCAATCCTACTTGGGGGGTAAGGGGGACTTCGTAGTAGGTCAATGATGGGGATGACGAGGGATACGAAATATGTAGCTCTTAGGGGTTATGTATAAGTATGCATACAAAATCCCCTTGACCTACCCTAAACCCGAAACCCTCAACCAATGTGCAAGTATGCATACTAAACGCCCTTGAAGTTCCAGGTGAACCTGTCCTCCTCCCCAACCCTAAGCCCGAAACCCGGAACCCTTCCTCTTAACCCGCCAAGCTCCCAGCTTTGCTTTGGGTACCGGCGCGGGCTGCGCCGACGCCGAGGCCGGCTGGGCCACCCTTCCCAACAAAGGGCTGAATGTTTTTGGGCGTTTGGGATAGGAAGGTTTCGCACGCAGTGGGCTGAATATGACCCCCAATATGGCGTAGTCTTTGATATTAGCGGCCCAGATTTGATGAAATCGATGGTACCATCCTTCACAACTTCCATGGATTGGATACTGACTCCACTCCGTAACAATCTCCCGCCTGTGGGTCCTACATATGGCTGTTAAAGGCTATGGCAGTAGCCAACTCATAGACTCGTAGACCTAATAGCCAGAACAACTGACAACAAACAGCAAAGATGATACCTAGTCTCCTGTTACCTCGGAAATCAACTATCCCCTATTTTGCAAGTACTCTATGTTGGGAGTGTTCGTTATGAGGGATGACACTGACAAATTCCCCATTTGTGGAGTTGTACCCCTTGTGGGTGCCATCGCGCAGCCCTCTGGGCCCTAAAACCCAAAACCTCTGAATCCTGGAACCCTATCGCCCTAAACCCTGAGCCCACCGAACAAACATAGAACCTCAGAAAAAGTTCTAAAACTTTTCATAGGCAAGCCATGAAACAAGACCGAGCCCTGTAGCCCCAAAGATCTATAGCTGCGATCCCAATCTTGCAGACATACCCATGAGACAGATGGGTCATGCACTTGAACTTCCATAGACTTCCCATACCAGCTGCGCAAGACCCATTCATTGTCTAAAACGTGATATGCGGAAGACCTGCGAGAGCACCACCCCTGGAACTACCTACTTGCAACGGGGTCCCGGACCAGCAAAAGGATTATGCAGAATTTTTACCCTGGTAGTCTTTTTGCCGAGTGTGTCAGAAGCTGACTCAAAAGGCTAAAGGCACCCTTGAATCCATTGAAGTCATTATTGGAACCTCGTGCCTGAACTGCCAGCTCTTCAAGCAAAGCGACCCTAAACTTCCAAGAAAATATCCGCAAAGCTTTCTCTCAAGGCATGTATCTGTCCTCTGCCACGAGAAACCTGAGTTCAGATGGTTCCGGCTGAATGTTAAGCTTTCCAAAACCCGCGCCGTCTTTTTCCCATCACTGTCTTCGGAAGCGCTTAGCTGGCACGTCCAAGTCGCATAACTCGCTAGCTGCTCGTTTATGGCCAGAGCTGCGCGTCATGGTGTGCCAGCACTCACGCAGACCATCTTTTGGAAAGCTGGCCTCGCGAAACGACACTTCTTCGAAACCAGCCTTGCTGTAGCAGCTCCGCGCTCGGTAGTTTGTCTCGATCACCGAAAGGCTCGTGGTTTCGATCTGCCAGCTCTTCTGGCGCGCGCAGTTTTCAGCTGCAGAGATCCTTGGATTTTCTCTCCAAGAGTCGGTCAGGTGCACGTTGTCTGGAATTTTTGCTTGCTACAAGAAAACCGCACAAGTTTCTAAATTGTGGCCGAGGAGCAGCATTGATGCAACACCCTGGCCCTGGTGCTCAGTATCCACCTTTATGTGGGCAATCTTCAGCTTCTGAGAACCTGGGTTCGCGACAAGCATACCACGGCAAAGACCCTCCAATTTTTTGGATACTAGGAAACCAAAAAAATTGAAAATCCTCCGGGTCAACTCAAGAAGAAGCCAAGGAGCTAGTCGATTTTCGTGAGCAGTGCACGTAGCCTGCCACATTGCCATCCAGTTTTCGCACCGCGGCCAGGGTGAAAGAGTTGGGAGCCGATCCAGTAAGATTCTTCTCAATGGCCTGGCAGACTGGAGAATGGGGACAGGCCCTTGATATACCCCAAAATACAATAATCATCATTATTCGCACCATCAAAGGACCCCTCATTTCCAAAAAAAACACCTTCAGGTACGCATCGGTGTCTTCCTGTGCTACTCCAATCTTGTCGCACCAGTCGTGCGGTGACAAATCTGCATACCAGGACTCCTTGATATAGAGCTCACTGTGGTCGAAGACGAGCTCGCACTCCTTACTCGACTACGGCTCGGGATGACAAGCTTCACTGTTTTCTTCAGATCTGATTGAACAGAAGAACAAAACGAATTTCAAACAGCCATGGAAGACTTCGTAATACTGGCTAATACTGGCGCCCAGTCTCGGAGCGCCTGATGCGCTTGGCCATGCTTGCAGGAGCGATGCAGATGAAATACCGAGTGTTTTCTGCGAGTACTTGTACTTGGTGCTTGCGAATCGGGCTGAAAGGCGTCTCTGGCATGTGGCGGAATAGCCAGTTCACCATAGCTACGCGCGCTTGTCCGTCCGGGCAAACGCTGTCGGGGTGCAAGCGCTGAGCTTGCCGACTCATCACTTCGCTCAGCTCATCCTCATTGGAGCCGCACCGCTGTATTTCTTGCGCTGCGCGCTGCTTCTGCTCCAGGATGTACTTGTTCAGCTCGCCTTTGAGCTTTGTGTTTCTTGTCATGTCTTTTGGGGTTTTTGTCAAGTGGCATGCCACATCCGCAGCGGCCCCCATCCCTACAAGCAGGCGTACCATGCTGACATGCCCGTACGAAACAGCATAATAGAGAGCCGTCTGGCCGAACACGTCTCTGAAGTTCGGCTGCATGCCCAGCATCAGTAGCAATCTTGCAACTGCTAAGTTGCCAACCTTGGCGGCAAAAAACAGTGGTGTCTGCTTGAATTTGTCAAAGACGTCCACATCCACACCCATGCTGATACACTCTCTGGCTAATCTGAGTGCTCCCGGCTCTTCACGAGCAGCAGCAAACCAAAGGACTGTTTGTCCTTGCCTTGGATCTTTTTCCTGTACGTCCATGCTTCGCAGCGTTTGAAGCGCGAGGTCGAAATCAGCATCCCTGATCAAGTCAAAGCGCTGCGCGACTTCAGACGGCAAAGCGTCCGCCATATTGGCTCAGTATAGTATATTCTAACACAGCATAACATACAATAATATATTATAATATACTCTAATATACTCTGAATTGTAATATAACCATCTTTACGGCTGAAGATTTGATAGTGACAAGCGTCCGCCACTATTCAACAAGGCTTGGACACAGCAAGAATCACCCCCATTCTGAGACTTGGCTTTCACAACAAATTGCCACAATACCTTTTAAAGCTTTGATAGCCCACTAATAAGACCCCTTTGAGGACATTTGAGCTATAGTCTAAAGTCCTAGCATCCCCCTTATTCACCCCTATAGTAGTCCCTATATAATCCGCTATATAACCTGCCTTAAGGACTTTAGACTATAGCTCATTTAGTGTGAGGGAGACTGACCCAAGGTCGGAGGCAGCCTCGGCCACGTGCTCTGCAAGCCGAAATGGTCAGGACCCAAAAATACGAGCAAGCTGCAGTGGATGCTGCAAATCAATCCCAGCTCAGACAAACTCCGAGCATGTTCCCCTAAACAACCCTCTACCCGAGGGCGTAATATAAACAATGAAGTACCAGCGTGCAGAATCAGATGGATACATGCAACGGAAACGTGTCAATCGCTTACCCTGCCAACCTCTGCTTTGGCTGCGGCGCTGGGATGCTACTCCGAGAGGAGCTTCCCCGTAGGTTCGGGGCCTCAGGTATGAGATCAACATGCTCATATTGCTACTACTGACAAGAATGGGATGAAAAGGGATGAGCATCGCAACTACTAAGTAAAAGGGACTTGAATCTGCTTTGGCAGCTATTAGGCGCGTGCCAAAGATGTCCCCATTGCCATATGCCTCAATTTTCAGAACTCACAAAACATCCATAGTTTGGCAACATCCATAGTTTGGCACCGGATCCCTGTGCAAGGGCTTGGGATGTTCTGACAAAATGTGCAGACATGACATATGGTGCCATACCCTATTAAGATCCCAATTAATACCCCATTTTTCTATAATAGTTTTCATGTTCTTTCCCATTATCCCTATGCAACCCCAATATATACTCTAGTATAATGTAGTAAGTCATCAGGTCCACAGCAGGAAAAAGACGACTTGCACTTTTTCAATTCATTTCAAATCTGTTTACAGTGAGAATGAGAGAGAGAGAGAGAGAGAGAGAGAGAGAGAGATCTACCCTCGCGCTTTTATCAAGATAAGTGGAACGACCGTAGACTTACCGACTGCGAATCCGGCAAGAACGGAACCCTTCACCAACCGTCTCTTTACCAAGCAACACAGAAAGTGAGTACGACATGAACACGGTGCCCACCAGGCACCTAAACATCTGAGATGCTATTCAACAACAGCAGAACCCTGTGACTTTCTCTGGATTTGAATACCATGCCTGGCCATGCATGGTTACGATCCTGATCATAACAACGCTTCAAACAGGGCCACACACCAAATAGTCCCACACATGCTCGAGCTTTCTCACAACGCCCCAAAACATGGGAAATGGCAAAATGCATGGATGCTGAATCCTCGCCCTCTGAGGCTCAACACTGCAAGAAGCCAATGGTAAGCGTATGGTATCGCAAGATCAGGAGGAGGCGTGCTCCATTTGAAAGGACGAAATGCTGAAGAAAACGACAACTTCCTGTTTCCCTGAAGTCTGAATTAACAGCAAGAACACGTCAGTGCCAACCACCACAATCACTCGCAACCCCTGATCTCCCTCTTTCTCCCAGTCACGTAGCAAAACTCAAAACCCTGGTTGTGCTTTCCGAGGCAATGGATACGGTGCCGGGCGCTACTGCATCGGCAATGTGCAGAGTACGTGTCATTTCTTATCACACCTTGTTCACTTGCGGTCATTGATACGCGTGTACTAGTTGCATGCATACATGCATACTTCAGAGTCCATGAATGCGGGTGCTTGTCGCGCAGCCGTTAATCATCAACATGGTGCAGTGCGCAGGGTGCTTCTTTGCAATCTTGATTTACAGGTCCCGAAGCATGCAATATTTTTTTCGAGCCACTTCTCAAAAGAAGCACGCTGGCCAGTGGAATGCTACAAGACCCTATCCTCGGATGCTTCTCAAAAAACAGCAGAATCTTGGTAAATCTTTGCCGGGGCCCTTGGGTTTGTGCCATAGTGCCTTAATTATCTGTCACAAGTATTATTCTGCAACTAGGATGGGAAAAGATCTCTGACTTTGCAAATTCAGACCCCTCCGCTGACATAGGCCGAAATCTAGACACAAGAGATCTCTGCTGGAAAGACATAGCGTCATGGGAACTCTGCATTTGCTGATGCCCGTCGGAAAACTGAAGCCCAACTTAACGCAGGGCACTGGATCATCTGCGGCACTGTCAGGTTTGTTCGGAATTCGGGGCTTGCAAGGCTAGCTAAAGCTGACTAAGCTGAGATCCGAAACCCGTCTCCCGAAACCTATATATAGATTTCAAGCCAGACCGTCAAGCCAAAACTACTCGCTCTGCGCTGCCAACTGTAACCTTCAACTTAGAGTTATACTTCATGCGGAACCCAAGGAATAGCTACATCAGTTGTAATTGGCCCATGAACGCAGCTCTGAATGGCAAACGTTCTCTGGTAAGATGTTGTTATGCTCATCTAGGTATCTCAGTTACGACCACCAAAATAATGTCAACCCAGATGTACCTAGTAGTCCTACTACAGCCTCCACCCTCCCCCCCCCTCCGCAGCATTAAGCACCCGCCCCTCCCTCATGTCAAGATACATGAGGTATGTCCCCCAATTTATGCCGGCTATAACAGGGAATGCTTGAAGGGGCAGGAAGCAGGAGGTATTTGTTTTTTCGGACAAGGCGGGCAAGCCTCAACAGTTCAAGCATGACTTACAACTGAGTTACAAAAAATAACAGCGCCCCGACATCTTTGCAACCCCACCTTGAAATTCCTTCGCCCTCTCTGGTTCCCCCAAACTGCCCTAGATTGCCCTATCTCTCCTACAAGCCACCCTAAATCCTCCTACCTTCCCTAAACCGAACCTTAGGGTGACTACACGGGATAGGTCCCTATACGTCCTCACAACGTCACCACTACATGACGAACCCTCAACCTTAAATGAAAAACTCTGCACCCTAAACCCTGAAAGATAAACCCCAAGTGCCCTACAACGCTCTGAATCCCCAACCCTCACAGAGGCCGCTCGAGAAGGAGAACGAGCCGCCCGTCGGGGTTTTCCCGGTTGGACTCCAGGGCGGCTGTAACCTGCCAAAAGTACACAAGTAAAGGTAACTCGAAGGTGAAAGTGCCAGCGTAGGCGTTGTAAAACCACTTAGAGGTTACAAGTGGTAGGTAGGGTTGGAAAAAGCCTGCAATACATTTGCATGTGTGTTAATATGCGGCTGACCCCAATTTATACAAACCCTACAGCGTTCTGAAGGATTCCAAGAGCTTACCCTCTAAGGGTTTATAGCCAGACTACATAGACCCGAGCGATACCTGAACCTGAAGGACCTACTGAAGCAGGAAGTCTTACACCTATCAAGCCTTTTAGACACGTGCATCTTTGGGAAGCATCCGCCTCTTCAGCAGAGCGTCCGTCGCATTTCATCACCTGCCACCCCGCTGTTGCGCTTGCGAAAGGGACATTTCTCAGACACGAGTCCTAACTTTACGCATAGGGGGAACCAAAAACCTTAGAAACTATGTAGGTGTTGGGATGTAGGTGTGAGGTAAACCACTTTCACAATTAAAAGAAGAACCTGGGGAATCCACGAACCTGAACTCTAATCTCTGGGGTCGTTCCCCCTTCTGGGGTCGTTCCCCCTTACAGTAACTGTTACCACAATGGGTTATAGGAGTTATAAGAACCCCCTTAATGAGGCCCCTTTAAGGACAGTTACTGGGAGGGGGAATGACCCAACTAATCCCTAAACCTTGTCAACCCTGAGCTTCTAATCACTACAGGGATTCTAGGGATCATAGGGTAATAATGGAAAAGATAATGGAAACCCTAGGTCCCTTTAAAGGGAGTATATAGGGATCATATAGGGTTATATTGGGGTTATATAGGGCGAATGGAAAAGAAAATGGAAACTACAGGGATTATAGGGATTATAAGGTAATATGGGTTTATAACCCTTTAACCCTAAACCCCAATCCCCTAATCCCAAAATTAAAGACCCTGAACATCCCTGCCCTATATGTCCCTATAAACCCTCGTTTCTATGTAATTTCATATGCTCTCTCCCATATGAGCCACTGTCTAAACTCCTAGCATCCCCCTTAATAAGCCCTACAGTAGTCCCCCTATATAATCCCTATATAACCACCCTTTAAGGAGTTTAGACTATAGCTCATATGATTCTCCGTCGCTGGGGAAACATCCCTGCCTGCTGCATGGGCATCGTCTCAGCCCCAAGCATCCTTACAGGAGTTTAGGGTTTAGGGTTTAGGGTTTCGGGTTTAGGGCTTAGGGTTTAGGATCTCTACAGCAGCACCTTGCTAATCCCAAAACGTGCGAGCCATAGTCTAAAGTCCTAGCATCCCCCCTTCGTAACCCCTATAATCCTACCCTAAAAAAATCACATGTTTAACCCCAGTTAAGGAGTTTGGACTACAGCTCATGCGGCACTTTTATCCTAAGAAATGTAATCGCTTCCATGTTCTTTTCCATTCCCCCAGCCACAAACCCTAGATAAAGTAGCTTCCGTTTTCTGTCTTTCTCCTTCATCCCCTACCAACAACCAACAAATTGACCATAATATTCAATTCGTCCCATGCCGTACTATAATCAAGACATTCTCACTTATGGAGGGTAACCAAAGTCCACCCTAAACACTACAGCCCTAAACTCTTAACCCTCAAGCCTGAACCAAAAAAAACAATCCCAAAGCCCTAAACCCAAAAACCCTAAACCGCTAAACCCTCAACCCTAAAACCCTAAATCCCTAAACCCTCAACCCTAAAACCCTAAATCCCTAAACCCTAAATCCCTAAACCCTAAATCCCTAAACCCCTAAACCCTAAACCCCTTAAGCTAAAAAATGTACTAACAACAAGCAAGGCATCTTGTCCAACCAGCCGGGCTCCGGCCCGGCGCCCACAAAGGACACGGCGCGGACGATGTCGCCCACCTGGTTCACAAGGACTTCGGGTTTAGGGTTTAGGGTTTAGGATTTAGGGTTTAGGGTTTAGGGCTTAGGCCTTAGAGCTGATAGTCCCCCTTAAGTAGATGGAATATGGCTCTGAGTATATTATAATAAGAACCCCATATACCACATATTCTATCTACTTAAGGGGGACTACATACCATAAAGGGATGCACAAGGATATGCATATGGAGGAATTCCAGGATATAAGACAGGCACATATCAATATATGGATACGCGAGGATCTACCAGGCTATGCCGTATAGGGGTAAATAGGGCGTTAAGGAATGTATAGGGATGTTTAGTGCTTAGCGTTTAGCATATTGCCTCAAACTAACATGCAACCCCATAAGGGGCTCCTATCACTAGAGTCCTGTAACGGCACGCTACATGGGGTTGCATCTTCGCCTGGGGATATATGGTAGATTCCCAAAATAGGGAGACCCCAATATAGACCCCAAAATACTATAGTCCTTACTATGGGGACCCCCAAAAAGGTACCCCTAATTTTGGAAACCCCCATATCTAGGAAAGCACGATGCCATTTTGGGAACTTACAATCACCATGTCACCATGCAGCAGCCTCGAGCCCACACGAAGCTTGCGCTTAAGATTCAAGATCTGCAAAGGTCGAACAACGTCTCTACAACGCTTTACGGGGACCCATAATCCTCCAAGAATCGCTATACCTCCTATATTTCTCATGCTGAGAACCTCCCACATCCCGACCTGGATGCCCAGGCTGTCGGCTTCGCTCTTGGGGTCCACTGACAGCACCACTACCAGGTCAGCTTCAGCCGGTGGCACGTCACTAGGACGCTGGACCTCTACCAGGCGGAGCCCCAAAGGCAGGAAGGCCGTGAAGCACATTAGCCGTCCTCCTCGATCGTCGTACAGCGGCGTAAGATCTGAGCCCCACATCAGTTCTGAGTTGTCCTTCAGAGGCAGGGAAACACGCACGTGCGCCGCGCCCGGCACCAAAGCCGGACCATCAGTCTCGCGCACAGGCGGCAGGATGTCGATGGTTACTGGATCGCCAGCAAGGCGACCCGAACCGGGGACAAAAGAGGGCACACTTGTCTTGCGGCGCGGGTTCTGCAATGTTTGCAGAGCCTCAGGGAATCAGGGCGACGCTGCATTGGGGTTATACTGAGATAATGGAAAAGAAAATGGAAACTACTATTTAGGGATTAGGGTTTAGGACTTCCATTTCCAATTTTCATCTTGCAAGCCTCGTCCAGCTCGTCGTTGTACGCCTTGAGCTTCTCAAAGGATGCTTGCGTGTTGGCTACCTGGTAGTTTCCCAAATTACGTGGACCCCAATCTAGACCCAAAATACGATCATCCTCATTATAGGGACCCTACGAAGGGACCCCTAATTTTAGGAAAACCCCAAACCCGAAACCCTAACTCGTGGTTTCCATGCTCTTTCCACTATCCCCATCCAGCCCCTATAGAACCCCTATAAAGGGACCCCCTAAATTTTAGGCGAACTCCACCTCCCCCCCAAGGAAGTCGGACAGCTCCTGTCTCAGAGAGTCTCGCCGGTCTTGTGCATCGTCAGCGGCTCCCAGGCCTCGGAGGTCCTGAACCATGAGACTCTCAACTTGTGAGGATATGATATACTACTACTATAATATACTATAAAATACTATTACTATACTATGATATATTATAATATACTTTAATATGCTATAATATACCATAATATACTATAATATGCTATATAATGTGCTATAGCATGCTATAACCATGGGACGCTCAACTTGTGAAACCCTATTACTATTATTATGATTTGTATGATTACTACTACTACTACTACTACTACTGCTACTGCTACTGCTACTGCTACTGCTACTGCTACTGCTACTACTGCCACCACCATTATCATTAATATTACTATTTTGAACCCTCATTCCTTTTTGGCATTCATGATTTCATTCAAACCCCTAATCCCCTAAACCCTTAAACCCCTAAACCCCTAAACCCTATACAACCCCATCATAGTAGTTTCCATTTTCTTTTCCATTATTCCCTTTTTAAGCCTTCTGCCTGGAACTTGCCCAGCAGAAGCTCCGAGCGGCTGCGCTCTGCTCCGAGGGCCTCCTCCCAGAGGGCCTCTGAGATATTAGGGTTATAGTAGGGTTACATTAGTATTAGGGTGATGTTAGGGGTATATTAGGGCTATATTGGGGTTATATGGGCGTAATTTTAGGGTTGTATTGGGGTTATATTAGGGTCATATTAGGGTCATATTAGGGGTATATTAGGGTTATATGAGGGTTATATTGGGATAATGGAAAAGAAACTGGAAACTACTACTTAGGGTTTTGGGTTTAAGGTTTAGGGCTTAGGCCCTCCCAAAAGGCCTCTGAGGCCTCCGCCTCCCCAGCCGCGCGCACGCGCACCGCGCCGCCCTGGCGCCACTTCCCAGCCGCCTTGGGCGATGTACCAGGGGCCAGGGTGAAGCCCAGCTGGCTGCGCAGTAGCCAACAAAGAAGGAGAGCCAGTGTGAAGCTTCTACTCCGCAGATCCCGGCTCATGGCAATCACAACAAGCCGGGGTTTCCCAAGACTAGGGGTGCGATTTCGGGGGTCCCTATCATTGGGGATTATAAGTATATTATCTTAGGGTCTATATTGGGGGTCCCCTTGTTTAAGGAAACTACCAAGTTGCGGTAGAGCTAAAGGAAGACTCTGAGATGGGAGCTGTTGGGATGCTATACTTAGGGTTTAGGGTCTAGGGTTGAGGGTTGAGGGTTGAGGGCAAGGGCATGTGATCTGAGGCAACTAACTACGAAGGCAAACGAGCTGTAGTCTAAACTCCTCACAGGATGGTTATATAGGGGATTATACGGTTTCTTAGAGGTATACTAGGAGTTGAAACTATAGCTCAAATGCAGTCATGAACTGTGGGGTGGCAGGACTAGAGGAGAGCTCCTGGTTCTAGGTCAAGGCTGCGGATGGTCCTTTTATTCCCATGATTGTTATTACTGTAACTGTTAGTCGTACTAGTGTGTTATTGTTACTACTCTTTATTAATACCTTGTCGCTATTGTTATTATTGTTCTGACTCCATGGCACTATTAGCAACTACATCAATGGCCACAACTGTGATTACAAGACCTTCCGTTGACAGCGTGGTCATCATCAGAGTCAGCCTGATTATTGCCCCTATGGGCACCACTACTTTGTAGGACAATGGAGATACGAATGTACCAGATCCCTTTAAGAATCCTTGAATGAACCTCCTGTAAGCTTTTGTGAGTACTTTAGCGAGCCCCTTAGCAACCCCGGGGTCGCACGACGACTAAGACTACCATCCGTGCGATGAGGACAAGACAAACCGCACACAAGCTGAACTGACATCAAGCCACTCCAAGGTGGGATTCCAAAAAAAAACTTCTTATGCACCCTAAGATACTACAAGAATACTACAACACGTACGAGCACAGGAGCCCCAAAAGAAACGACCTCTGCTTTTGGGAAGACTCCCACCAAGCCCATCATTACAAAGCACCCGGCCGATGAGGGTGCCTGCACGCGGCATGTGCAACAGTGGTCAGCATGCAGGCATGGTGTTATTGACAGTACTAGTCAAAGCAATACTGACGATCATAGCAGACTTAGCAGACATACACATGATAAGTATGTATGTCACTCCATCTAGAGTTCACTCAAAGTGGGACTGCATCGCGGATTGGAGCCCAAGCACGTGTGAACTTTTCTTCATGCTGGCCGGGCACCACAATCGAACAACAAGCTAGAAGTGGGAATTTCCCAAAATTAGGGGTACCATTTTGAGGGTCCATATAGTAAGGACTATAATATTTTGGGGTCTATATGGGGTCCCCCCATTTAGGGAAACTACCAAGTAGATTGCATGCAGGAATCTCAAATTATCCCAGAACAACCCTAAACCCTAAACCCTTCCAACCCTAAATACGAAAATCCAACATGCTGACTTTCGAGCACCGGCCTGAGTGGGTCTGGGACGCTGAGCCTCATGGGCAAGGTGTGGACCACACACTCCAAGTGCCAATACTGGAGGGTTTAGGGTGTATAGGGTTTAGGGTACCGGGTTTTTAGGGTTTGTGAGGTTTAGGGTTTATATAGTTTAGGGTTCATAGGGTTTAGGGTCCCAGGTTTTTTAGGGTTTATAGGGTTTAGGGTTTATAGGGTTTAGAGTACCAGGTTTTTTAGGGTTTATAGGGTTTAGGGTTTATAGGGTTTGGGGTACCAGGTTTTTTATAGGGTTTATAGGGTTTAGGGTACCAGGTTTTTTAGGGTTTATAGGGTTTAGGGTTTATAGGGTTTAGGTACCAGGTTTTTTAGGGTTTACAGGGTTTAGGGTTTAGCGCGATGAAAGCCAGAATGCTGACTAACGTAGGGAAACTGATATGCTAAAATGCTCATGCGTCTGCGAGCACTGAAGGACTTGGTGCAGCAAAAAGCCTAATCTTGAAAGAAGTCCCATGACCCTAAGAGACGCTCCACATTCCATGGAAAAAAAACTTCCACCGCCCCCACTACCTCTCAATTCATGCCGCTATTTCTGCTACATCCATACAGGCTGAAAGCCACATGGGGGCCCCCATAATAAAGACTATAATGGAGAATCACATGGAAAAGAAAATGGAAAATGAGATGGAAAAGGCTCCGATTTCCCCGCAGCCCGTTTGACAAAGCCTCCATGCAGGAATTTTCATAAAGGCGAAGCCCCCGTATAGACCTCAATGCACTAGAACCCTGATCCTGGCAACTTCCGAAAGGAACCCGTGATTTTGGAACCCGAATTCCTCTAAACCCCTACATAATCCCAGCTTCAATGCCATTTCAACTGTCTTGTTCATTTGATTCGCCATTATTGGGGTAGGGTCTCTAAACACGAAACCCTATACGTCCCCATACAACCCTATATAACACAATATCTCTTGTGAAGTGGCCCTAGGAATACAATCCATAGGCCTGCATCTCTGAGTGGCGGTGAAGCACCTGACACAACGGTTTCAGGTTTAGGGCTTAAGGTCGTGGGGAATGAATATAGGGACTATCCTCGGGGATTATAACACGGACCAGCAGGAGGACAAGGGTAACGTACTACCGCTCCAACCTACTTCTTGTGGCGTAGCAAACGGCATCCGTGGAAGTAACGGATCAATGCTGCCAGTAACAGCAGGGCAGTAGCCGTAAACATAATGGAAATGGTGCTGTCGGAAGTAATAATAGCAGTAGCAGCAGCAGCAGCAGCAGCAGCAGCAGCAGGAGTAGTAGTAGTAGTAGTAGTAGCAGCATCAGCAGTAGCAGTAGCAGTAGCAGTAGCAGTAGCAGTAGCAGTTGCAGTTGCAGTAGCAGCTGCAGTAGCAGTAGCAGTAGCAGTAGCAGTAGCAGTAGCAGTAGCAGTGGCAGCAGTAGTATAGCGACTGCTACTGCTACGTTTCTGCTGCTACTACTAGTTACTGAGAATGGTACTGATACTTGTAGTGGTGCAACAGCAATATCTGGCACCAGCGGCAGCAGCGGCAGTCCTATGAGTAACGGTGAAAATCGTCGTCCCGAAGAATGCGGACGATCCATGCCGGCACCTCCTAGTGGAGATGGCTGATTCACTGCAGCGGCCCATGGGACCCTTAAGCACCGGTAAGGAGGACAAGCTTGGTTGCGTGGTTGGTTGGGGTTTGAGAGTTGTGGGTTGAGGATACGGGGCTTCTGGCTAAGGAGGGTGTGGTGGTCTCTTTTTCAGGTCGCGGGCTATGGGGTTTAGGGTAGGTCTGGGGTCAAGAGGTTGAAGGTGTAGGGTTTGGCGACTTGCAATGGAAGGGGCTGATAAGGTTCAAGCATCAAAGCGCAAGGATTCAATAGTTCGTGCCACTTCAGCTGCTTGTTCTGACTTGGGTTGAGGACTGCAGCTTCTATGCTCACGGCTACTAGCACTACCACTCCAATCAACTAAACACACTCCGATGGTCATGTCAAGCACATCACTTTGCGCATCTTGTGCGTTCATCGGCCAAACGGCTGGGACACCAAAGGCAACAGTAAAGCACAAAGCTGCACAAGTACCTTGCAAGGCTCTGCCACAGGTGCTTACAAAATTTGCATGGCACAAACTTGCAAAGTCAAAGTCAACAAGCTCATGAAGCAGCAGAACAGATATTGTACTGGCAGGCATGTCCGACGCAAGCTGATGGGCTTGCCATTTGGCATTGGCCCACCCTGCGTCGAAAGGCACCATGCTTCTCCGCGAGGGCCTACGGGTGAGGGCCTGCGAATTCTTTGCCTACGGGTAGGGAGCAGCATGCATTGATGTGGGGCTCAAGTCTACTACATCTTCCTCGTCACTGGAGTACACCAGCGTTCCAGAATCCCCGCCAAAAAGCTCATCAATCCGAACCTCGCACAACCTGTCAGTCTCCACCGCCGTAGCAGCCTTCCGCTCCTCGAAGTGCAGGTTCGAGTTTTCCTTCAACCAGCGGCCCACCAAAAGGGGCACAGCCTCCACATTTTTCGGCCGCGACTCCCTGCACCCAGCGGTGTGTTTTGTGAATCTTCGGGAGAAATGAGATGGCTATGGCGCATTCTAACGTGTATACATACAGTCATACATACCTACATACATACCTACGCACGTACTGAAAAAATACTTGCACATCGGCTCTCCTTGGCACAGTTGCGAAGCCTTGAATGGGCTATCCAGCAAAAGGACCAAGCACCCTGGCCTGCGTTCAGGAGCCCTTGCCTTGGCCGCAGGGGCCGGGCCGCGCTGCAGAAAGCCCTGGAGCAGCTTCTCCTGATCCCTGAGGACCTGATTAAGGGGAGGATGGAAGGGATTCAGGATGGAGGTTGTTTTGAGGGTTAGAGCCTGAGCTTGTTGCAGGCGTGGAGGGTGCTAAAGTTTAGAGTGTAGAATTTTGAGGGTACCTACGATTTATCCATCAGTGAGTATAGACACACTGCTTGGAGTATGGGTTTGCTGCGTATATGCTGAGTTGTAACAAGGCCCCGTGTCAGGGTGTCAGGGGGAAGTTAGAAGTCAGATTTGAAAGGGGTTGCAATCATGACCGAAACCACCTAACTTTCCCGTCATGCCCGTGAACTGACCTATATGTGAACATAAATGTATAACATCACTGCATCCACATGTACAGTTTGTGCAAAATTGGAGGGCATGACTACCTTCAACTTATGTAAGCTTATGTAACATCCTCCCTACAAACCCGAACACTCAACCTTGAAGAAATCGACATAAAGCTTCAAGCCCTGAACCGAAACCCTAATGCACCTAACCCAAACCGGGAAAACCTGAAACCTAAAATCCAAAAGACCCGGCCCCTCAAAGCCAAGCACCAGCTCCGAAGATGAATAAGGTAGATTTCCAGGGGACTCCAGACCAGACAGATACCCTGCAAGGAACCCTGACTGGAGTATTACGAAGGAATCCAGCGGGTTCTTAGAGGGTCCGTCCTATCTGAGGGTGTTTGGGAAAACTACCTAACTTCATACCAAAAAAAATGCATAATACTAGTACTTTCCATGTTCTTGTCCATTATCCCTGTATTACTCTACTACCCTATATAACCTTATATAACCTTAACCAATCATGTAGCCCAGATGCTGCATCCGGGGGATCCGGGGGCGGCATCGCTCGGCCCAGAAGAGGACGCCGGTGCGGTCGGACCAGCCTAGGCAAAGATCCAGGGTTCAGGATATGGGGTTCTATAGGGTTCTACAGGGTTCTATTAGGTTATATAGGGTTATATAGGGTTATATAGGGTTCTATTAGGTTATATAGGGTGATAATGGGTTCTATAGGGTTATATGGGGTTATATAGGGTTGTATAGGGTTACATAGGGAAATATAAGGATAATGCAAAAAATGGAAACTAGTGTTTAGGATTTAGGTTTGAGGGTTTGGGGCCTGAAGTTCAGAGCTTAGGACTTTGAATTCAGGAAGGGTTTCGATTCTGGGTTTGCTTGTGGCGAAGGTTCTGATTGAAGGTTGCTACAGGTCCCTGGCTCCTCCCATTCCACAAACAGTTACATCAAACAAACGATATGACCCTACATAACCCTGTATGTAACGCTATCGTGTAGATACCAATGGCGCATTGACCAGAAGCTTCCACTGCTTAGCCTGCCCCAGGTCTAGTTCGCTGCAGCGTCTTGGCATGCGCAGACATGCCCTAATCTTCTGAAACCCTAAGCCCATATACATCCCTATATATTCCCCTATACATTCGACTCGGAGCTCCCCTTCCCTGAACATAAAGAATGCTAATTCCCCACTGTGCTTCCAGGATGTCAGCGGTACGATGTGGGCCACCAGGGACTCCCTCAGAGATGAAAGGCTGGCCAGCAGCGGCAGATTTTCAAACCTAGGCTCCCAAAAAGTTAATGCGGGATTCCTAAGTACCTATATAGGGGATATGAACCCAAACCATATCTAATATCGTAGGGTTTAGGGGGAGTAAGGGCTTATTTGGGTTATCTAGGGTTTAGGGGTATATTACCCCAATAATAGAGACTCAAATGGAAAATGTGAAAAATGAAATGGCAACTACTCTATATAGCATATATACATATACATATTATTGGAGATTATATGGGAGTGTCTGAAAAATACCCAATTATTGACTTACTTTTATTAAGTCCCCCTGAAACCCCTAAGCATCTAGTTGGCTTCAATCTTTTGAGCAGGTCCCTCTCCACCCGTCCCCTCCTACTGTTCCCAAAGACGCGTCCGAAAACCCTTGTAAAGACCACATGAAGCAAGCATGCGCGTGTGATCTTGATGGGCTTTACTTTTCGTTTTGACATTCTGGGGTTCAGGGTTAAGGGGTAATATGAAGGCTTCATGTTTCTCCACAAAAGAATTTTGGTAGGGACACTTGTTCAAAGGATGATGAGCATGCTAAAGAAGTTCCTCTTCCGGATTATGTAGGGGTTATTCTGCAAAAGTCCCAAAAAGTCAAGAAGCCAGGCGTCCACCATGACCAACCAGGTAGCCAGCTTCTGAAACACCTGCAAACGACCGTCGTCACTGGTATAGTCTTGCTGTCATCATTAACACTATTAACATCGCTGTTATCCTTCTTGCATTATAGTTACTCTTATGATTACTAGTACAACTATTCGTATTCTTACGTTATTACCATGACTATTCTCATTATTACGTTACTGTTGCCATTGCCAAATAATTGTCTAGACATTCAGGGCTTAGGGTACCGAGTTTCAGGGTGTACCCTTCTAACCCTCAACAGTTTCGAGGGTTCTGGGCGTCTAGGATCACAAGAGGCCTGTGTCACAGTTTACAAGGCTTAGGTGTGCACCATGGATTTCGGATTTTGGGTTTAGGGGTGGACTATCTGGCATTGTTTCTAGATGGACTGTGGCGATGGCCAGGGTATCCTCCATGGAAGGCCCACCCAGATGACAGAAAGGTAAAGACCTCGGCGCCTGCAGGAGTCACGTGCTTGGGAAAAGTTAACCTATACCTCTATATGGATTATGTGGGGAGATTGTACGAGTTAATACTTCCTCGGATGAGAACTTCGATCTCTGGTGCGTCTCACCTGTGCTGGTGCTCTACTAGCATCTTCATCTGCAACCCAGAGATACATTGCGTGAGCATCTTCAGCAATATTAGGGAACTACGGGATATGTTGGTCTAGGCTGAAGAAGCCATTTTGGAGAAGCTTGAATGCCACTCAACCCAGACACAAAAGACACCCCCTGAATGCTCTGCAAAAACCCCATTATGCATGCCGGTTCGGCAAAGCCTGAGCTCGAGACCCTGAACCAAAAACACAAAACCCTAGACCCTCAAACTGCAAAACCTACACCCGAAACCTTAAACTCCAAACCCTCACACTGAACCCTTTGAACCTTCACAACTCTAAACCATCCTAAACCCTACACCCTTGTCGCCCTTTTCGACCTTGGATCCAAGCAGCGGCAATCGTCATAAACCCGCAAAAAGCTCAACCCTAAACCCTGAATAGTAGCTTCCATTTTCTTTTCCATTATCCCTATATAACCCCAAAATAACACCTAGTATAATATAGTAGTTTACCCATACAATAAGTGCATGCTGCACCCGGCCTCGTGCTCATGGCCCTTGCTGTCCCGGACTGCACCACCGGCTGCCATGCGAATGGCTTCCCGATGCTTCCTGGGACGGCTGGAGGGGCTTTGGGGGGGCCACTTTGGGTTCAGGGCTTAAAGGTTGTCAGCAAAGATTGGAGCTTGGGATTTAGGGTTTGAAGCTACCCTCCTAGAAACTAACAAGAAAGCCCGAAAAACTGCCATACGAAGACCATAGTCCCTTCAAAAAGGGTGATACGGGTTTCCAAGTTAGATCGGGGGACTGCAAGAACTGTTTTCTTAGCACGCCTTGTTTCTGCCTGCCTGCCTGCCTGCCTGCCTGCCTGCATGCCTGCATGCCTTGACGTAGAAGGGCTCATGTTGCAGGATTTGGGGCTGAAATGATTTGGAGTTCATTCTTTTTCCCGGTGCTGAAGCTGTAGCCTCAAAGGGTCTCGAAGACTTAGGGGATAGGGTTGAAGGTTCAAATTAAGATTTAGGCGTTCGGCTGGGACTGCAAAAAAAGCAAAAAAAGTGGCTTCGTAGGCTTGCTAATGGTTTTGCCGGGCTGAATTAAACAGGGTTACAGGGGATAATGCCTCAATAATGGAAAACGAATTAAATGGAAACCTGAGGTCCTTCAAAAGGGCTCGTAGGGATGCATAGGGTTTACGTAAGGAATTCGGACAGGACTTTCATTCTTGAAACATTACCGAGCGGACTCGGGGGGGTTGGTTGAGGCGTTCAGCAAGTGTTCATATTTAGCAAACATCTGCGAGGGCAATATAAGCTACAGTCTGAACTCCTAGTATTCCCCTGAATAAGCTTTATAGTAGGAACCCTATAGAGTCTCCTATATAATCCCTTTTAAGGAGTTTAGACTTTGGCTCATATGCCACAGAAGAAACTCGTTGCAGGACCTACATACTCACCAATCCAAAAAATCTCACCGCTACACCCTAAGACCCTGGACCAAGTTCACCTACATGAAACGATTACTGCATGGAATTGATCTTATGAAAGATGTTATACCGCTTTCCTTCCTTCCCAAGTAATCACCCGTCAGTCCTCTGAAATCTAACCCCTCTCCAAACCCAGTTTCTATTTCATCTTCCGTTTGCTTGTTCATGTGATCTCCCATTCCCTACTAACCACCAGTAAGCAAAAAACTCACTCATCAGAAACCTGGCTTCGCGAATGCCCGGCGGAAGCGCTTCCGCCTCAGGAGAGGAACCTCAGCAGACTCCAGACAAACACCTCCTCCCAGAAATGCATGCCTTAGGGGGAGGGGGGAACCCCAAACCCTAAACCCTAAACCCTAAAAATGGAGCGTCTTAGGGACCTGCAGCTTCAAAAAAAAATGTAGGAGGGTTCGAGGGCCAAGTTGAGGGACTGTGGCGCATCCAGGTTCGTTGAGCATTAAAGCCGATTAACCCCCAGCCTCAACCCTAGACCCTAACCCCTAAACCACAAACCCTAAGCCCTGGATTTGAAATTAAACCCTTGACCCTAAAACCGTGAACCGAACTCTGGAGCCCTCAATCGTTTAGGATTTAGGGTTTCAATACCCTAAACCCTACATCCTACACTCAGAATACCATCTTAACTTCCATTTTCTTTTCCATTATTACTAAATCCCCCATAAGAACTCAAAGCCTAGGAAGTCCAACCTTAAACCCTAAAACCTAAACAATATTGTAGCTTCCATTGTCTCTTCCATTACTACTATGTCCCCCATAAGAACACAAAGCATAGCACGTCCATCCCTCAACCCTGAACCCTAAATCCCAGAAGAGCTATAATCTAAACTCCTAGCATCCCCTTAATAATGACCATCACACTCCCCATATAATCCCCTATATAACCCTCTTTAGGTAGTTTAGACTGTAGCTATAACCCTAAACTCTAAACTCTGATCCTAAACCCTAAATTCTAAACCCTAAACCCCTAAAATCTGTAGCCCATAAGAACCCGAAAAACCAAAAAGTCCAGGTCACGGTCTCCGGCCTCAGCGCCTGCGCGCGGCCCAGGAAAGCCGGGCCCTTTCAGAGAGGGTTTGGGCTTTTTTTAGGGTTAGGTGAGCCCAAATTCAGAAGGATAGGGAGTATGTAGGGATAGTAGTAGGGGTTATATAACGCTATATAGGGGTCTAAAGAGAAGTGCGGTGTTTAAGGTATTAGGGTATCTAAAGGTGGTTAATGTGTTTAGGCCCGAGGGTTTGGGGGTGGGATTGACAGGTTTGGACTTTAAAGCTTGGCGCTCGGGCTGTCGGATGTCAGGTTCAATGCGTAGTAGTTTCCATTTTCTTTTCCATTATCCCTATATAAACAACAGAAAGTATGGTAGTTTCCATTTTCTCTTCCAATATCCCTACAGAACCTTTGCAATTTGCTGCCTGCAAGGCTTCCGCGAGTCTACAGAGTTGGAAACTCCTACCCTGATATTGCAGGATTCCTCTTTGCTCTCTATGCCATTTCTGGAGGAGCTGTAAGAAGATTGTCGCTCAGTAGCCAAGATGAGGTTGATCCCTTGCGAACCAAAAGAACTCCTACATAATCCCCATGAACCCTGCTCACAGCCTTACACCATTGACCCCAAATAAAAATGGCAATAATAACAACACTATCAGTAAGACTAATCATGTTGGTAGTACAAATGTAGTAGTAATAAGAATAATACCGGCAAAAAATGTAAGAACAGTAATAATAGTACTACAACCTTCTCCCGACTGGCCTCGGAGAGCAAGCACCGGGCGCCGAAGGCGTCGCCCTGAGGTCTCTCTTGTTGCGTTGTTTTGGCTGAAAATGCATTGAGGCCCCCAAGTTTTGACTGATTTGGCCTAGGCCGGCCTATAGTTGACATTGCTTTTGGCGGGATGGTTGAAAATCTTGGCTTGCAGACTAACACGATCTGACAGCTAAAGTGCATGATCAGTGCCTGGTCGTGTGTGTCGCCCACAAGAAAGGCTGTGGGCTCCAACAGGGCGTGAGCCATGGTTGTCTCCCCAGCCTGGGCAGCTAGCCAGCTGAGATCATGGAGACTCTTACCCTAGCTGCCCTAGCCCAGCTTCTGCTGCTCTGCGCATGTGCATCTCAGTGGCAAAGAATGCAGGGCAGTCTTTCTTTTGCAAGCTTTCAATCAGGAGGCGATCCTGAACTTGAACCAGGACTCTGCAGCCTTCTTCTCCCGGCGGCCTCCTCGCAACCTCCTCGCCTCCTTGCTGGGCTGGCCAAAGCCTGCGTAGGCGTCCCAGAGGTCAGGAAGCTGCTTCGTCTCCACGCTGGGAGCCTGGGCCTGGTGCAGTGGCGGCATCTCATCCTCGCTGTCACCGCTTGCATCCAATCTTGGCCTCTGCCGCTTCCGACTCTTACCGGGCCAGTGCTTGGAGCACCTCGCGGCGATACATCCCATGTGCCAGGGCCGAGCGTGCAGCCCAACTCCAGGACCACAAGCCGAACCTGGGGCAGCCTGTGGCCCTGTGCGCAAAGGAGCCCCCAGCACTGGCCTTGGGGGAAGGTTCCGAGGTTCTGACACACCTAGGCGGTGTGCTTCTGGCAGGTTGTGCAGCCAAAGGCTCTGCTGGTGCTGCAGCTCGCAGCCGTCCATCTTTAGGTCGCTGACACACCACCGAACTTCTTCCTCCGACACGTGCTTGAGCAGCTGCAAAAACTGCACGTATGGAGCCACTTTGCATGGGCTCAAGCTTGGAAGCATCGCATGCTGCACGTGCATCTCCTCTATCAATAGCGCCAATGCGGGAGCGGCGCACTGGTGTGCAACCTCTCCGTCTGGGCCGGACAATAGGAAGGCTGCGATGAGCTCCTGGCGAATGCGCTGTGAGAGCGTGTGGGCTTTGTCTAGAAAGCGGTGCTCCTCCCGAAATCGCGTCAGTCGCTGGACTGTGCTTTCAAAGTCTGTAGGGGGGTCATACTTCTCGTAGGAGGCATCGAACAGCGCCCGGTACTCCAAGTTGGCAGCAGCGGCCGCACGCTTGCGGTCAAACTCAGGGCCACCGAACTCGGCGTCCACGCCTTCCAAGCGTCTGTCCAGAGGACGTCCCCCGTCGCAGCGGCAACAGCGGCACGTGAAGCCCCAGCCAGCCTGAAGGCTGGCACGCCGAACCCGAAGGGGTGCCAGCTGCTCGGAATCTGCCAAGTAGCAGATGCATGCCTCCTCGCGGGACCTTATCTCCTCCAGCGCATACACGCTGAACGACGTCACCTTATACTCAGACACCGATGCAGAAAGCTCTCCCGGCGCCAGGTGCCCTCCTGCATTTGGGAAGCAGGAGTGGTTGAAGCGGCTACAAGCACGGAAGAGCATGGCTGGGTAGGCGCCATCGGCGCAGGGCCGGAAGGTGCGAAAGGCGTAGCGGGACGCGATGTGCAGGGCCCGCGCCTCGGGCGTCTCATGAGCCAAGAGGTCCGTCTGGAAGTCCTGGAGGAGCCGGGACTTCTGGATCCAATCAGCGCCGGGCTTTAGGTCAGGCACATCGCGGTCAGAGCCGCTGTCCCAAACAAACGGAACCTCCTCCAGCAGCAGCTCACCACGCTTCACCGTGTCCGTGGCTACATAGCCGATCCCACGTTCCCCCAAATTGCAGAGCTTCAGGCGCGGGTGTAAGTACAGCAGAGCCCCACTCTGGGGCCGCACTCCCCGAGCCGTGGCCATGGCTTGGCGCTAAAACAAAATGGGGAGGAACAGAGGTGCAAAGGTTGCGCAACAGTACCGGATGTGGACGCAAAGAGTGTGATGAAAATGTGGTCTACAAAAAACAAGATATGCCAACCTGCTCTAGATCCTAGTGCTTGTCACATGGACTGATTGGGCTGGAGAACCATGAGCTGCCAGGTAAGCATCAATTCGTCGGGCTTACCTCACAGAGGTACCACTCAATCCCTCAGAGCCGCCTACCCTTTGGCTACGTGCTTCCACGGTCACATGTCCCAAAACATCAGGAACCTGCTGTACAGAACCACCAAACAACTATCCACCCGTATACGCCTAGCCGCTATCCGCCGCAAAGGAAACTCATTTGTACTATAGTCAGTAATCCTTGGCAAGGAACTGGATATGAGCTTGTGTGAAGGAATGCAGTAGTGGCTACACTGAAGTACTACAGACCCTAGCTCCATCCTTGATATTCCCTCTGTATACTAACGCTCTGAAACCCGACATCCTAATACTCCAAAAACCTCCTACACCCTGATCCCCCATCCCCAATCCTTTCAATCCTCCTCTTTCCACTGAAATGCTGAGAGTACCGCTGGCTCCCCAGCGCGCATTTCAGCACGCAGGGGGGTCAAGGAGGTAACACCCAAGTTCCTGACACCAACTGCGGGGTAGGGTAGAGGGAGTAGAAGGGGCAGTCTGTAAGTGCTTTCTAGAAGTGCATATATACAACAATGTGTGTATGTATATACTACAGAAAAGATGTACAAAGTTTATGCAAATTACGGCAGTTGACGGTCCACGTTTTAGAGCTTTTGAAAACTGTGAGTGGATTCCTTGGATCACTGGAGGAAGAGGTATAGCATTGTGCTGATGCAAATGTGACCTCCATCCCCACTAAGTCAGAAAATGACACCGTTGTCGTCCGGCTCAATGTGCAAAGTTCATCCCATGTCCGTTGAGGATAATTGTTTTGAGACAGTATCACGCCAGTGCGAAACACCTGTGCCTGTAGGGACTTGGTAGTTGATCAACACTACTGGTCCAAAAACACACCATGTGGATGTGATTTCCCCTATATTTTCCCCATAGACCTACAGATTACCCAAATAATTTCCTCAGAGCCTCACTTGCATAGGACAGGGTCGGTCCATTACTTGGAGGAGCGGATCCCAACAAGGGGATTTTGCCTTTCCCAAGGACCAAAGTTAGAGCACAAGGACGAAGGTTGGGATTCCTAAAATACCCTTACTACCTACTCCAAGTCACCATATAACCCCTGTATAACCCAAGTAGCAATTTAATTTCCATTTTCTTATGTGATTTCTGCTTATTGGGCAAGCCCAAAGCCTTGTACCCAAAGCAGTGTCCCTGAAATATCCTAAGCCTTGAACCCTAAACCCTACCCCCTAAACCCTGAACCCCTAAACCCTAAACCTTAAACCCCTAAACCCTTAAACCCTAAACCCCTAAACCCTTAAACCCCTAGACCCTAAACCCCTCAACACCAAAACCCCCTAAAGCCTAAACTC